CGCCACGGAAAACGATGGGGATGTAACCCAAACATACTGCGATGGATGTATACTGCAACAGTGAGACCAATCATCACTTACGGGGCTATAACCTGGAGTAACAGAACTAGTTTAGCTACTACGAGAGCTAATATCTCAAAATTACAAAGACTAGGTGATCTTATACCTCACCCCTCTACATTTGATGATAGAGAATGTGGCAAAAAGGACACGATATAGAATGATCTGGAACGGAGTAATCAGACGAAAGTCTACTTGCTTCAGGACTAAAGATACCTGGGACATGCCCCAGGATGAAATGCTAAAGAAGTACAGTTTTGTGAAAAACTTCAAAACCACAGAGCTGGGCTGCAAGAAAGAATGGAGCCAAGAATCCATCGCGCTTGCAACCGAAAGACGTGCTATTCAGTGGTATATGGACGGTTTCAAAACCATAGAAGGAACTGGAATAGGAGTGTATGGGCCGAGAACCAAGCACTCCGAAAGCTTGGGAAAATACCCAAGCATCTTCCAGGCGGAAATTCACGCCATCGAGAAGTGTATCCAGTTTAACATCGAGAGAACCTATCATAGACAAGAGATTATCATCATGTCCGATAGTCAAGCAGCCATCAAAGCGCTGAGCTCTTACGTAATCAGCTCAAAAATGGTCTGGAGATGCCTAGAACAATTGAATGAGCTAGACGAGAAAACTAGAGTTACTCTCACTTGGGTCCCGAGACATAACGAGGTACAGGGTAACGAGATTGCAGATAGTCTTGCAAGGAAAGAGGCTCAAACACCCTTTGTAGGACCTGAGCCGTTCTGCGGTATTAGCAGTAACATAATATTAGGAGAGATTAAAAAAGAATTGGGCAGTAGAAGAACCGATAATTGGAACAATCTCTTGGGGCTGACACAGGCCAAGATACTTCTGGGTGAATATAACCAGAAAAGATCGAAAGCCTGCATCTGCTTGAGCAAGAACAGGCTACGTATTGTAACAGGGATCCTTACCGGGCATTGCCAACTAAAAGGACACCTGAGTAAACTGAGAGTAGTAGAGGATAGTGAGTGCAGATTCTGTGAGGAGGAGGACGAAACCTCGATTCACATCCTAACTGAATGTGTAGCACTCCAGAATCCAAGGGCACTATATCTAGGAGGATATCAAATAGAAAAGGAAGATTTACCTAACTTGAAGCCACTTCAAATTCTACACTTCCTAGAGAAAATAGGATTGAAAGGGTCGTCATAGGCATTGAGACATTTCCTTGGTGCATTGGCGATAGAAGGGGGCACACTAGATCTTTTAGGTCGCAGTGTATTAACACCCCAGTTTCAATATAACATAATAACATCGAAAGGTAACCGTCTTGCTGATTCACTAGCCAAGAAGGCAGCCAACCAAATACTTTTTGGACCTAGCTCTTCTATTGGCCTGACAAAATCGGTAGTAACAGACCTAATTAAAGAACATTCCCTCGTGAAAATCAAGGAACGATGGGATGAAACAAGAAACTTCAGACTTGCCAGGGAGTTCTTAAGTTATCCTGACAATACTGCAGCAAACAAGTACTTGACTATGACTAGACAGAATCTGCGCCTAGTCACAGGCATTCTGACTGCTCATTGCCAAGTACGGAAGCATCTCCATATCATGAGGCTGTCAGAATCCGCAATCTGCAGATGGTGCGAACAAGAAGATGAGACCATCGAGCACATCCTTTACGATTGCTCGACGCTCTCATTTATTAGAAGGTTTGTGTTCGGCGAGTATCGGCTAACACCGGCCGATATAAGAGAAGCACCTGTCTGTGGATCCAAGGGTCCTAGGTTCGAATCCCACCGTTGGCCGGGATTTTTTTATTTAATTTAATTATTTAAAATTAATTCTGATGCCTTTGTAGGATTCCCCACTCGACCATTCACTGTTGGGTTCTAATTAACAGTGCTGTTCCTAAAGTGGCGCTGGGAAACAGTAACAAAGCCTACACAGAACACGAGGCTAATGGCCTTAGCAGTCGATGCCGATGACACCAAATTAAAAAAAAAAAAAAAAACAGAAGCACCTCCTTGCGACGTTGTCAACTAAATTAAATCTGTAGGCTGGTTCATCTTCTCATATATTTCATTCATTAGAAAATAATTTCCCGCTTTTAACTGTAATAGGCTTTTGAGCTACTATAGGAGTTAAACCTTTGAAATGCTCCTTTTGTCGCCGGTTATACTTTCTTATGCCCTTTTTAGAGAAATTATTAAAATATAATTATCTTTTAGCATTACACGAATATAAATAGAGACCAAATAGTATCTTTTACAAGAATAGTAGCCAATCCCTGTGTATTGTGTGTATATTTGTCGAATGCAAAAAGATATTACAATAAAACGATTCACAAAAAATTTCAATTGATTAGCTTCTTCCTGGAATAACAGGTAACAAAAAGTGGGTATTTCGTCAAATCCTTCTGTATCTCAAAAACTTCATAATAAAAAGCTGTAATTTTTGGAAATTTATTTTCTACAGAATGGTTAATACACTAGTAAAGAAACACCTTTACAGAACTAAAAATACATTCGATAAATTAACTATCAAAAAATTTATTAAATCACCCTGTAGTCAATTAATTGGATAATTATACACATCGTCGTTGATATTGCGAAATGTCGTATGTCAAAACAGCTACTTTTTAAGAGAGCAAAAAACAATATATTTTTTTCGCATACGACCTCTTAAATAAATCACGTTGAACGCTTGGCTATTTTAGGGGCATACGAGATTTTGCAGGATTAAGACCGGTCAATTTAAATTATGAATTGGCATTAATATAAATGTGTACTTTTGACATACAACTAATTGAAGTATCAACGACGATATGGTAAATACACAAAAGTCCCGTAAAAATACTGCGTTTCACATTAGCCTATGTCAATATTTACTAATCACCCTAATATATTTTGCATTATCATTAGACATAATAAATGTAGCAATAATTTATTTTTTAGTAAATATTATCACCTTCTAGAACAATAAAAGTAATTATCAAAAATATGGCCTTACTTATTAGCGGCTCGCTCTGTAAAGGAAAATTATTTTTGACCTCTTTTTATATTCGTAGAATTCCAAAAGATGTTACAATAAGATTTGGCACAAAAAATTATAATCATTTAACTTTCTTCTGAAATAACCGTTATCAAATAAGTGGTATTTTTAAAGTTTAAAACCCTGTATCTCAAAAACCAGTCATAGGATTTGAATGGTCCCATGGATACTATTGCTAAAGAGGTCGAGAACTGCAACATATCAAAACATTTATGACATTTAACAGGTCGCCACTTTTCCATAAGTGGTGTGCGGGGTCTTGTAGGAATGTTTTTTTCAAATTTTCCAAATGGAATACTTTGTATTACTATACATCAACGGAAGGAGAATTTTATACCCTTCAACTTCCACATGTATTTTCCTATACCTATAAAAACATTTTTTCGGGTATTATAGGTGGCGTTAGATAGACTAGATTTATAATATAACCCTACATAAAACAATCGGGTTTTGTTAAGTCAGGTGATCGGGGTGGTCATTTATTTTGGACCATTATGCTGGTAGCATATTTTCGACTAGGATGATGATTTGCTAAAAAATCTAAATAGGTACATCAGACCATTTAAGTTGTTTTCAAAAAAAATATGTCCCAAAAACATGATCCCCAATTATACCTCCCCAAATATTTACACTCCATCTTTCTTGGCTATGTGTTCTGATGATGTTAAAATTTGCCTTGAAATTGTAGTGGAAATTGTCTATTAACGAATCCGTTCTTTATCAAAAAAAGTTGTATTTTGTTGCAGTTTAGTCTGTGCCCAGTTACAAAACCGTGCATTCGTTTATCAAAATCGGTATCTTTCAGCTCTTGATGCAATTAAATTTTGTAAAGATGATAAAATTCTTCTAATGGATGCTTTACTTATACCCACTACTTCGGCAATCCTTTTTTGACTTACATTAGGATCTGCTATCGCTCTCAAAATTACAGATTATTGGATTTCTTCATCAGCAGCACGTTTGTCAATTACTGGTTTTTTATAAGCAACATTTCCTGTTCCAGTAAATCTTATATGTAATTTTTCAAAACTTTTTCCTCATGGAAGCATCTATCGTGATATCGTTGATAAATTATTTTTAAAAATAAACAATTTCTGTCGGATTCTCCCAAAACATAGACTATGTCAATTAATTCATTTTTTGTAAAATTCATTATTAATAGAAGAATTATCGCGATCAGTAAAAATAACCTCTGAAATATTAATGTCAGACACTAAATATCTGACACTTCATTAAGACCCAGCCTACTTGATTGAATGTTCACTTTCGATAAAACAAGTAGAAGAAATTGTACTTTTTATAAATAAATGTCTTTTTTAGAATTTACTTTTTAAGAAAGACATATAGGTATTAGGAAAGTACATAGGGAAGTTGAAAGGTATAAAGTTTTCCTTGCGTTGATAAATAAAACTTGAAAAATTAAAAAAAAAGTTCCCTGGAAATTTTTGGAAAGATAAATAACTTTGTCTAAAAAAATCGTTGGTGTATTGGCTTTATGCATTTGTAGTTTTTTAAATTCTAATGTTAAATTCGCCTGAAAATGTAATATTTTTAGGTACCCAAGAAAAGTTTCGGATATTTGCTTTTAGACACTTACTGACACGTATACTTTAAATAAATCGTTAAGATTTGTATAGTAGGAGTTATAAAACTACGACAGAGGTTTGGCCCAATTCTCTCTACGAAGTTATGAAAAATATATCCCAAGGAAAGAAAAGTAAAAATGCTGAGATATTATTAAAATAAAAAATTTTTGCATCGACCAAGGATCGAATCTGGAATCTTCCGACTAGAGCCGTCGGCGCTTGTACCAATTGTACTATCGCAGCACCTGGCTGCGACAGTCCAATTTGTACATACATTCAATCTAATAATTCCAGGGAGTCGATACTTAGTCGGCGAATAAAAAAATTCTTACCTTCTTTAGTTGTTGCTACTGTGTCTCCGGGCTCGACCTGCGCAAAAAACAAACTTGGATTGATGAAAATTCTCGAACTGTAAGTAACTTTCTTTTTCGGATAACTCGGATATCGACCACTGGGGTCTGTCACGAACACTATCACCACCATTCAACATATCACATGGTCTCAAAAACAGTTTTTTAACCACAAAAATATAGTCAATCACATAAACGATGGTCTATGAGTGTAAAAATGTAAGATTGTGCAGTTAAAAATTTGAAGTTGAACTAAAAAATAAAACGTACCATGTATTGGATGTTTAAAATTAGCAACAATTATTCAAACAAATTTCCCGTCTTGCTGATAAATATTTGTTTGTATTTATGGCAGAAAATTTGCATTTTTTTTTTGGAAAATAATTCGATTTTTTTTTATAAATTTGAAAACTCTCTTTAATTCGATAATTTTGGGTTGTTGATGAATATTTGTATTATTGACATTATTTACTGCATTCATTTAAGAATAATAAAAAATTAAGAAATGTACGAACGGGCAATAAAGTTCAGATTATAAATACGGGCGTAAAGTGTCCCTTTATCGTCCGCAGACTACTTTACTGCCCGCGAATCACTTTATCGTCCGCCAGGTGATAAAGTATTAAGATATTATTCAACGAGCGGGTAATGATAGCTAATACTCACGAGGATGAAGTTTTTACTACGAGCCGCAGGCGAGTAGTGTAATCATCCGACTGACTTTTTCTATGATTATTAAATTAAATAATAGAAAAGAGATATGCATTATTTTATTTCGTTTATTTGTTCCAAAATGAATTGTAAAAATAGAACAGTTTTGATAATTAACAGAAACTGTTAAATCCATATCAACAGTAGTAGTTATATTTCTACTAGTCAACTGGTTTTCCGTGTAGGTTGTAGTTGTGGTCGAATTTTGTTGAAAATATTTAAGTAATGGCTGAAAATAATTAAGTAATGAAATAAATAATTGAGTAATGAAAAAATGATTTATGCGCATCTCGGGCGTCGCAACTCGAGCGGAATACTTAATTTTTCGCATTTCGGGCGTAAGGCTACAGGTAGATTAAATACCCTTCGCAACTCGGGCGTTCAAGGATCAGTACCAATATTATAGTAATATAATGAATGTCACCTCTTTAGTTTAACCTGAGAAGGTGCTTTCGGCTTAAACTTAAAATTATATACAGAGTGCCGTACAAGAGGAGCTTGCCAGTTTTTAAATATTATGTAACTTTCATAAAACAAGATTTTTTATCTATCTTTCTCTGCGAAAATAGTCTTTACATTACATTGTTATGATATTTGAAATTGTCGTTTTTATTGAAAAAAGTATAATTTAATTTTTATATAATAATTAGATTGATAAATAATAGTGTGTCTACCTCGGCTAGCTATTTAATTTTTATTTTAATACATTTTTTATGTACAGCGTGTCTGTGTAAGTTGGCTACATATAGAAAACTTTTTTTTTTATTAGTTTTATCAAAAAAAATTAATCGAACCTTACAATATGTCTCATATTTCGAGTGTACTTCGCAAGTCAGTTTTTCCGTTTTATGACGAAAGTTTAATTTATTTTTAGTTTATTTATTTAAAACACACTATTTTCAAAATTTATTTCAGACGTACTATTTAATTTATACAATACTAACTAACAATTCTAATTTATTTCTTACACTTTAACTTTCCAATACAATTTTCTATATTAAAACTGTCTATAATCAACTGACCGCCGTCTTTACACACGCGATATTTATATCAAGCCAACTCTGTAACCAGAATAATCTCGATGGTCGGGAAAATTCCAATTCTGACTCAACGGCACACTCCGTCCGTTCTACCCGTTCCTCGAGCCTCAGCGACATTCCCAGAATATTCCATCGCCTCTAGCATAAATCGGCTGCCCAGACGTGAAGGCCGCGTGCTTAGACAGAGTCGGACTTAATAATTTCATGACAGTTTGTTAAGTCTTCCACGATGGCATTTATTTGTCAGTCGAGATTACTGTATTTTGTGGCTCTTTTATTTAACTATATTTTAATATTATATTTAAACGTTGTTATGTAACTAAAAGTTAATCATTTTGTTAAATATATATAATATGTAAAAGATTATTGTATTTCAAGCTTTTTAACGTTTGGTTAATAATGTAAACCAAATATCTACGTTATTTTAATATTAATTATTCTAGTTTATTTTAATATTCTTTTTAAATGTTATTATGTAATTGTGGTTCAACCGAAAGTTGGATATTAAGATACATACACGTTTAATATTAACGTTTCTTTAAATTACATGAAACTCGTAATAAAATCGTTATTGTATCGAAACACTTTGACGTTTTGTTTATATTTTACCTAAAAATATTAATTATTCTACTTTATTGCAATCGTATTTTTAAACATTTTCATTGATTATACTTAGAATATTAAGTTGGTTTATTTTTGTTATGTTGTAAATGGCCAAGATTTGAAAAATTTCTCATTTGTAAGAAGAGAAAGAAGATGGATTATGTTGTAGTCATTTTATTTTAAGTAATATAATTTTATTTTAGAGACAACCATATTATATTCTAAATAATTGGAAGTTTGCGTCTGTTGTTGGATACATTTCTGAAATGTCAGTATGTTATATTTCTGATAGGTTTCAAATTATTATTTATAAAATATATGAAATATTACATTTACAGGATATTTTTACATTTTAGGAATGTTTTAGAAATGTTTCTGAGGCGTTTCGTAATATTTATATATTATTTTATCATATTCATGATTTCCTTAAAATGGTCCGTATTCGAGAATTTTGACAAAAAGTGCAAAATTCGAATTTTAAAGAAAATTCTTCAAATAAAAGTTGCTTACAATATAATTCTCTATAATTTTTGTTTCATACATTTCTCTAAAATAGACCGAATTCTGGAAATTTGAGGTAAAGTGCAAAATTCGAATTTTTCTCATTATTTTCATTTATAATACCACTAGTGACCAAATTATTTCCGGAAATATTTTAGAAATCGCGAATAATTTGAAAATGATCCCGATATCATGCTCTATATTTTTTATTCTACACATGATTTCTCTAAAATAAACCGTAATGGAAAAATCTTCATTTTTTTTACATCAACTAACTTTTCAATGCTCGCTATCTGTTAAAATCAAAGCTTGTTCTGCGATGTCATTCATTTCTCTTAAATTTTCGATAATTCATTACTACCTGAATCAGATTGTAATCAGAATCAGGGTACATAAACTATGGTCAAATTTCATATCCCGTCGACGCCCGAGTTGCGAACTCACAGGTGCACAATTTTGGAGGGCGTCCGAGTTGAGGCTTGAACGAGCAACCCTCTATGAAGGGGCGCTTCAACCTCTCAAAATTGAATAGGGAAGAGAAGTTGAGTGATACTTCATTTGTAAGGTCTTGGAAGCCTCATTACAACGGTGTATGAAAAAAATCACATTCTTAAAAAAAATTAATTGTTTTATCATGCTTACAATCAAAAAAATTAAAACTGCGTTTTTAAATCAAATGTAGAAATTGTCCTCCATTGACTTCCATACAATAATACAATCGACTGAAAACCGTCTCTAACATGGTCCAGCATAATTGGAGTTATTTGATGACACTCATTTACAATTCGTTGACGTAGTTCGTCCAAATCTTGGACTTAAGATGTCCCCACAAGAAGAACTCCGGAGGGTTCAGATCAGGAGAGCGAGCAGGCCAGTTCATAGGATCTCTTCTTCCAATCTAACGACCAGGGTATTGTAAATTGAGGTATTGGCGAACTGGTGCGGCGTAGTGAGGAGGAGCTCCGTCTTGTTGGAAATGCAATTGTTGTTCAATTAGTAGAGGATCGTTTTCTAATTTTTCTGTTATTAACGGATCAATCGCATTTTCCAGCATTTCATGATAAATTTCGCCATTTAAATTACCAGGAATAAACAGAGGTCCAATTAGGTGGTCTTCCAAAATTCCTACCCAAACGTTTAGGTTTTCCGGATATTGAGTGTGAGCTTCTCGAAATACATGAGGATTTGTATCGCTCCAAATTCTACAGTTATGCCGGTTAACCTCTCCATTAAGTAAAAAAGTGCATTCGTCAGAAAAGCAAACGTTGTACAAGATATTTGGGTTGAATCCCGAAAAAAAGCGCAAAGGAAATAAGCGCACAGGAAATATCCGCACAGAAAAAAGCGCACAGACATATAAACGCACAGGAAATAAGCGCACGTGGAAAGATGCGCACACGGAAAAAACCGCACGGGTATAAAAGCGCACAAGGAAAAAAGCGCACAAGGAAAAAAGCGCACAAGGAAAAAAGCGCACATGGAAAAAAGCGCACATTGAAAAAAGCGCAAAGTACATGTAGTTTATATCTTGTTAAGAATAGGATACAGAACAACTGAAGATTCTCTGAATAAAAATAAAAAAATTAAGTTCTATGAATACATAGTCAAAAATTATATCGGTGTGAAAAGTAACCACCAAATATGCGGACTTATATCACAGATATTATGTACACAAAACAACAAATGCATGGGAATGGCATTCTGATTTTAATCCAACTTCTATAATTCTCAACCGAGTTTATACCATTTTGTACATATTTTATTAAATTGGCAAGCTCAATCATATGTTAAAATTAACCCAACAAACTGTTTACAAAAAATTTAAAAAGTAATACAATAAAAAAAATAATTTTATACAATTTACAATTTTTATATTTCTTGGAATTTATTATTTGCAGAATTAAGGCAGGTAAGTAAAGGCGCTTATAAATAGACTACGGAATTTAAAGTTAATTTATTGTGCTCTAATTCTTGAACAAGTTAAGTTGAATTTTTGTAATAAACAAAATGGAGTTTTCGTCTAGTCAAAAAGGCAAGCGAGTTCTTATTTACAATGGTTTTGAATATATACATTTTCGCACAACAAATTGGATAGATACATGGAGGTGCCGTGAAAATCGACAAACTAAGTACCATTCCTTAATAAAAACGAAGGACAAGGACA